TTTTTCAGTATTTCTGTCATTTTCCAGTATGATATCTATTTTTAAATGTTACATTTACTTGAGAGGCTAAATGACTTAAGAAGTCTTGTTTTCTTGTTTTTGTTTTGTTTAAATTTTTCATCAAAATGAAGTCAGTTTGTGCTTAAAACAAGAGCACATATGAAAGTGGGGATCAGAAAAATTGCTTTCTGACTCTTTTGGCAGATATTTGTTCTTGTTTTAAGTATAAACTCGCTTCATTTTGATCCGTTTCTCAGAAAACAAGACTTCTTAAGTCACCGTGCATCGCCATTAAATTCATCTTTATTTAATAAAAACAAGACAGACACTGAAAATGAACAGCAGTGAACCTCAACAAGTGACTTAGTGGCAAGATCCACAAAAATGTGATTTGGTTTTCCTGAACATCTGGTTTGAAATAATACAGCTTCTGAATTAAGATTTAGGGAAAAAAAGCAGCGTAGATCCCCTCTCTGGTGAGCAGAGAGATCTCAATGATAACAGTCCCCAAAAATATCCTGAGCGCTCCACACAGTTACACTTACAGGCTGGAAAACTCAGTAAAACAATCCCCACTTTCAGAGTTTATACTGGTGTGATCCTAGAGATGACTAATAAACCTGGCATTGTATATCACGATTATTGTTGGCTCTCTGACGAATTGCTTTTGTTTCTCTTTTATAAGTTGCTTCGGATAAATGCATTTTGTTTTGTGCAGATTGTATTTTTTGTGTGTCTGTGCATTTTGAAATGAAATCAAAAATGAACAATGTGCATTATGTGAGTGTGTGAGGACTAAAGACAGATCTGTAGTGTTTAGGGCCTTGCTTAGCTGGAGCTTTCAACAAGACTGCTAAATTGGTCGAGGGTCACATGATACTCCAGCAAGTTCAGACACATTCAGATTGATGGTATGATGACACAATGTCATGTTTCAAATCTCACAGCCATCAGGTTTCCATACTTCTGCTGTTGATGTCAGCGCACGATAGATCGAAGGCAGTTAGCATCTGCTGAAACAGTATTGCAAATCTTGTCCCTAAATTAGACATGTGAGAGAAGATGGTGCTTGCAACAAAACAGATGGCATTACCTCATCATTTGGGACGAGCTCCTTGAATATCACACATGTAAGACACAAAGGTTTCATTTGAAATATTTAAATATTTATAAATATTGAAAATTCAAATACTATTCATAAAACATTGAAGACAGTTTCTATTTCCTCTTATACAGCACATAAACAAAATTGTTTTATAATGTAAAGTACTTAACAATGCATGTTGTTTATTGCTGATGTTGTTTATTTAAAAATTTAATTTAATATTCTATTTAAGTATAATAGATACTTATTTAATTTTAAATATAGAAAATTAAATTAAATATATAATAATAAAAAAAAAAATATATATATATTTTTTTTTTCCATTTATATATATTTAAAATACCTAACACATTTCCATATACATATAAACAATTTATTTGATTTTTATTTAGATTATTTAAAATGATACTCTTGTTTGCTCATAATAAACAATGCAGTCGATCTTCTGTGTTGGCCATGTATTCAAATTAAATCAAAGATTGAAACTCGTGATGACAGGTAATTAAAATTCGACTGCACCCCCCCTGAAGCAACTTGTCATCAATGTCCAAACATGAGAAGGAGGTCAGAGAGATGCAATAACACGGAGCGAATGAGACACACACTTGCATATACACATGCACATATGCACACATACTAAAGCAATGATGCACTCAGTCTGATGCACTTCCCATAAGAGTGGAAAGGTACAAAATTAAAGGGCAATGAATCATGCAAGTGCATGCACCTACACTAATAGAGTGGCAAGGTAAAAATGAAAGGGGAGTGAATCGTGCAAATGCATGCAAAATCTCCCTGTGCATCTAAATCCCACAAGCGCACGCTCTCTGTCGAACTCACCTCTCAGATCTCGCCCTTCCTTGATGCGCCTCACGCGCATCTTCAGCCTCATCTCGCTCTCGTGCATGTCTGTCCACAGCGGAGGAGGGATCCCCAAGTCAACGGGCATCCAGGAGACGCGCAGAAAACCCGCACAATCCACTCGGAGCTCACACGAGCGCTGGACAGGGACCAGAGGTGGAGATCAAAAGGCACTCTTTCCTCTTCGCGCGTCTCTTCGCTTCTGACTTTGGCTCGGCGAGCTCCTGCCTCTCTATTGTTGAGCCTCCTCCCTCCCTCTCGCTCGCTCGCTCGCTCGCTCCCTCCCCGTCTGTGAATGAGCGCACTGGCTGTGCTCTACTGGGGCCTGTGTTCATTAATAGCTCATGTGTAAGGCATGCAACCACATTCCAGACTCATCAGACAACTATGCGGCCACCGATGGGGAAGAGCGGCTCGGTGCGCGCCGTGTGTGTGTTTGCAATCAACAAAGGAGCCCTAGTTGCTTTCGAGGGACCGCTCTGCGCACTATATAGTCATCGCCGCTGCTTATGTAATGGCACATCATTATCACGCGCATGATCTGTGTCTGGGAAGTCCGTGTTGACTCACGGCTATAGCGCTTCAACAGAAGAACAGTTTGTCCTGGAATCAATCGGCGTTAATCACGGATGACGTCATTCATCAATCATTAGCCGTTAATCATGCATAATCATATCATGATGGGACAGATAGAGCCAATCCATTATATGTGACCCTGGACCACAAAACCAGTCATAAGGGTTAATTTTTTGAAATTGAGATTTATACATCATCTGAAAGCTGAATAGATAAGCTTTCCATTGATGCATGGTTTGTTAGCTGAGACACAACTATTTGAAAATCTGGAATCTGAGGGAGCAGAAAAATCAAAATATTGAGAAAACCGCCTTTAAAGTTGTCCAAATGAAGTTCTTAGCAAAGCATATTACTAATCAAAAATTAAGTTTTGATATATTTACGGTAGGAAATTTACAAAATATCTTCACGGAACATGATCTTTACTTAATATCCTAATGCTTTTTGGCATAAAAAAAATCGATAATTTTGACCCATGCATACCCATGTGTTGTTGGCTATTGCTACAAATATACCTGTGCTGCTTATGACTGCTTTTGTGCTCCAGGCTCACATATGTCCTTTTCTCTATGACAGATGCATATGCAAAAACGCGTAAAGTGCTAAAAGCTTCGTTAAATGGTGATATTTTTTGGTCAAATAAGGTTCTTTGTCATATAATGGCCATTGATCATCCATGCTAACATCATCATGATGGGAGAGATGGAATCCATTGCATGTCCTTTTATCTGTGACAGATGCATGCCAACATACATAAAGTGCTAAAAACTTGGTTAAACTGCAGCATAAAAAAGCTTCATTGCCAATCATGAAGTCAGTATGGACGAATCCATTATTTGTCTATTTCTCTACAACAGATGCATATGTAAAAATACCTAAAGTGCTACAAACTTTGCAGAATTATGGTGCAGTCACTTTGGTAAAATCTCGGCGAACTTTTACAGGCAAAAAAGATACATTTTCAAACATCATGATATAATAGTTAGAATCCATTACTTGTCCATTGTTCTATGAGCAGTGTTGGGGAAAGTTACTTTGGTGAATAAATAATGACAGAATGATCTGTTTTGGCTGAATTGTCCCTTTAAATGTTGTTTGTTTGTTATATACTGAGATGCAGGTTCAACCTTGCCTTTTCCACCATCTCCCTGTTGGCCGGCTGCAATGGTGCAGTGACATTTTTCAAGGTTGCCAGATCAGTGAAACTGGAGAAAGCAAATTAGGACCAGTGTACCAGTTTTAATTGAGGGGGTTTTCGCTGACCGGCCTGCACGTTTCTGTTTGTCCATAGTGTGTGTGTGTGTGTGTGTGTGTGTGTGTGTGACTGCAGTGCTGTAAATAGGTGTGCCAGTAAGGTAGCTATTTCTGTACGTGGAGGTGTTGAGGGAATATACTACATCTTTAATGCAGGAACAACGACACTGACTGCTGGAGGACTGCCAGGGATCTTAACGGAGCCCCTATAGACACACACACACACACACACACACATGCTTTTGCATGCAATTATAAACTGATCTAAAAATGAGAAATATGATAATTGCCTGAATGTGTGCAGACTTGAGGGAACACAGGTGCTAATTCATACACACACACAAACACACACACACACACACGCAATATGTGCTGCCCAGCAACAGAGGACAATAATAAAAGAAATGTCACGTGATTATTATTTTTTTTTCTTTGCAAAACTGAATGTAGGAGCTGTGAGAAGCACTAGATGGAAGTAGACTAACATAACACAGTCTCCCTAGCCCTGACATGCTCTTCTGGAGTCTCTGGCTGTGTTCAGAATTGAAAACTAGCTTACTGAATAGTGAAAACTGCACAGGACATGCTGTCTTTTTTATGTATCTTTTCATAGTGTGAAACAGAACGCATAAGCAGTCATACATGTTTCAAAAAAAGAGGTCTAATGCTGTCATCGTTGCTTCATGGGCAGCTGTTCGAGGTATAAATAACATCAGAAATATCACTGTTAAATGTAAACTTTACTGTATAAAGTACAATGCTGCAATGCCTAATTTGAATTTAAAACAATTAATTTGGGTTTCTAGGGCTTAATTTTTCATATATTTAGACTAAAATGATCAGTTGTCAGACATAACAACATTAGCCTGCATAAAAAAAAATTATAATAATATGTACACACACACACACACACACACACATTATAATGTTATGATGCCCAAATTCACCTTAAAACATTTTTTCAGCTATTATGATGTAATCTTTCATTTGTACATATTATAATAACAAATTATATATATATATATATAATATGCTGACTTTAAAGCTTCTAGGTAACATTTTTCCTTTATTAGGTACATACAGTTTATCAGTTATTGGCCAAAATATTAAAATAAATATCATTAAATATTTATTGGCCAGCATTTTACTATCAGCCCATCACTATTTCAAATGAAATCAGTTATTTTGCATGGTTTGTCCAGTTTTTAATACAAATGTCTAAAGATCAAGGAGATTGTAGCTATAAAAATGTCTGATTCATTCACCAAACCTGAAATGAAAGTAAAGCAATGCATTATATGTGCTGTGCTCTATCATATAGAAATGCAGTAAGTAGGTCACTGTGAGACTTCATGCATGCATATAGTTTTTAGACACCGTGGATAGTTCACATACTACTGTACAGTACATACAGAAGAAACAGTATGAGGAATATGCTTGTCCGTGCTATTTTCTAAAATAGAGCTCTGATCAAACATATGCAGCTCTATTAGTTCACTGAACAGCAAGCGAACCCGTTTAACTCAAAGCAAGAGAGCCTTCAGGTGGGATGATCGGGTTTATTTCTCTGATGTAGGCAGGAGATGTGGGAAGAAAAGGGTGGAAGGTTGAAGGGAAATAAATCACACATTCTAGCACAGTGAGCTAACCTCGGTACATCTTTGCATGCCTTTGCCAAAGACGCAGACTTTACGCCACCCACCAGGTCTGATGAGGGGCTTTATTTTAGTCTTCTGAAATATTACACGGATTTATGTCTGCCGAGCGTCAGAATTCCCAATGCAGAGCGTGCAATTTTCAGAAAAAAGTGCGTCCGATGCAAGAACATGTTTGAAGAAGATGTGTGTGTATATCATGCGAGCGGCCTCTCATCTCTCTCTTCCCATAAGACCACGACACTCAGTAGCATCTCCTAATCTTTGCATGATATCAGAGCATATCGGTTTCTACACGTCTTCTGCGCGCTTCATCTGTCTAAATTACCAGAGCAGGTAAATGGTGCAAGCATCCAGCGACAGCTCAGAGCCAGTGTTGACAGAGCTGGTTGTTAAGACTCTGGCAAACAAGCAATCAATATGTAATTCCAGCCGTGACGTGGCTCTGGGCTCCTGGCTCCTGGCGTGCCATGGCCGTGATGTAGTGGACCGTCATTAGAAACGTACACCATAATAAACCCCCTAACAGCTGCGGCCTGCGGGAGTGAAGACGAGCCCAAACCTGGCCGAAGGGTCACTGACTTGGACATTTGGAGAGGTTGACCTGTGAGGTCACCAGGGAATTTTTATGTTGGGCTCTGTCAGCGCTTGCTGAGGGATGTGCTCATGTTTTGTTGTTAGACAGCAGTTGCAATTAAACAGACACTTAGAAGCACAATTACACAAACACACATAAACGCAGCTTCAAAGGTGAGGAGTGGAATTTATGGAATTGCAAAAACAAATGCTGCTGATTTGGAAAACCTTCACACTCTGCGGATCTCATTCAGTAATCGTGTGCTATTCGAGTGTAAAACTGGTTTCCTTAACCAACCAGTTTCACACAGACATCATGATCCATCAATAATTTAGCAAAAAAAATAAAGAAATCAAAGAAATAAAGAAATCAAATAAAACCTAAACTTGCAATACAATTTTGAACCAACTGAAACAACACATGAAAAAAAAACCAAAAAAAAAAACCACATATATATATATATGGTAAGAAATTTACAAAATATCTTCACGGAACATGATCTTTACTTAATATCCTAATGATTTTTGGCATAAAAGAAAAATCGATAGTTTTGACCCATACAGTACAATGTATTGTTGGCTATTGATACAAATATGCCTGTGCTACTTATGACTGGTTTTGTGCTCCAGGGTCACATTTTAGTTAACCTGCTGATTAAGATTCTCTCCAAACTGTTACTCCAGTATGCCAGTGTTAGACACTGTAGAAGAAGAGAGTTTGTGAGAAATGTGCACTACAGCACCCCTTGTGGCAAAACAGCGTGCATGCATTGTATTATTAATAATGGATCAGTCATCCAACACTCTTTATTTCATTGACTTCCATTCACATCCATGCAAATGCATGCGGGAGACTGGAAACGCAAGCTCATGCAAATGCCACTGTGAGCCAAAGTTCAAGTCTGGTGAAGTCTGATCTGTGAATTTGCATCACATGGAGACTTGTGACCGATAGAAAAAATGCACATACTTTAAAGCTGCAGGTTTGCAGAAATGCATGGAAGTGGAGTGGACTGTACATGTTTAACATTTTGTATTAATCATTATTATACATGTTGAATGTATGCTTTAAAAAAAAGACTATATGTCACGAGCACTGCTGGAATTTTGCGTGCTAGTGAGCCCAAGGCTTTCAAAGTTTGACATATATGCAACATCACAGATTAATATGCAGAAAGTGCTGGCGTTCACATAGAGTATATTTGGGGACTTATAAACACACAGAGGCATGTGTTTCACACTCTTTGGCCTACATTAACACGCAGAACGGGGGTCTGCACACTATCATTCACAGTGGGGTGTAAATATGGCTCTGGTGCCTATCCCAGGGAAAGCGTCATTTATTTATATGCCATTGTGAGACGCATTCCCTAATTCAAACAAGAGCCGAACATAAATATGCTTTAAACAAATGACAACTTTATGGCTGTTATTCAAATCACAATGTTTACAAAGCTCTCATCACGCTCACATTTGTGCGCTGAAGAAAATGTGTACCAGAACAGACTGGAAACAGAGGACTGCAAGTGCTCATGATGTTTAGAG